GAGAGAGAGAGAGAGAGAGAGTAACGCAGTGATGGAGCAAGCCCATGCAAGCCACGGCATTGCAAGCACACACAGCAGGTGAAGTGAGAGAGGGCTGCGGTGTGCTGCAGACTTCGATCTAGATCTAGCCCTAAGCCTAGCTACACGCACGCCGAATGCGTCAGTGTCATGCACAAGCCTGCCACAAGGCCACGAGAGAGGGTGCTTGTGGCAAGGGAAAATACCCAAGAAAAAATACAGCTGGATTAGTCCACAAATGCTTACTTCCCTTGCATTTCTGATTTAACAGGGATCTGATATAACAGGACTTTCTCTTTGGTCCCACCATCCATGATATATCAGGTTTCCACTGTAAATTGCACAATGGGTGGAAAAGCGTCACTTTCTTCGTTTTTATTAAGCCCATATTGAGGAGCACCTGATTTCACAACGCTGAGACACATTATTATTATTACTTTAATCGTTTCTTTAGTATGCAAATCACCGACCATCATTGCCCGTGCCTACTGCTGAGGAAGACGACCAGTTGAAGTCAAGCTCTACATAATATACGAGGGTAAATGTCATATTGACGGTGGTGGCCTTTTGTGTCCTGACAGAATTAATCTTAGCATGACACAGCTTTGCCTGAACAGTAGACACAGAAGAAGTACATGTATACTTCTCCCTTCCCTTCTGATCTTGACTTCCTTGATATGCTCCAAAAGAGAGACATATCGTACATCAGTACATGTGGTACCAAAGAAGGTGTAAGGATGTGTCTGATAATTTCTTATTTTTTCTCTGCTAGATCTCAGGATCAGTCGGCTACTGGTTCTTCAGTCTGCAGTGCTACTGCGATTTTTACGTTCGTGGCCGTTTTTCCTACTTATTATAAGGGCCCTTGCTTCAGTTCAGGCAGCGACTTTTCGATTTCGAAGATATTCTTCTTGTTTTTATACTGACTGGAGTATTTTCAGTTTTAGTGGGCATTTAGAATATGCCAAGGTGGCAGCCGAAACGGTACTGTTATAATCGATTTTAGGCACCAAGGAATCTTTAACGTGCGCAACTTGCACACGGGACCTACTAAATTTGTTCACCCTTATCTGAGAAAACTAGGTTTCAATCTTACTTACCCTATGCTGAGGGGTGTGGCTGAAAGATATAAAGGAGTACATGTAGTAGAAAGAGTCATGGAGCCTAGAGGATAAGAGGGGGGGGGGGGGCAGAAGATGGAGATGAAAGCATATGACAGAA